CATTGGACGAGTTGAAGATCAAACTTGGCGACTCTGCAACGACGAGTCAGAAACAACTGAACATATACCGTGTAATTGCGTCGCCAGATGCCGTTTAAGACACAACATTTCCGGTAAAGCTTTTTTGACACCTACCGACATAAAGGTACATAAATAATATATAAATAGGTTTCTGGTTTGTTGATATTTTATTATCGTTAACCTTTTTTCATTTATCAATATGTCTGTCAATTTTCTGATACCTCGTCTACCTATGTTTTTGTTTATTTTCCTTTTTTGCGTTACGAAGTGTAGAACCCATCCTTTTCTGCACATGGTTTAGACATTCTTTTTTCTCTACTTCTAAGTCCTGTTGCAATAGAGCTTCGAAAGTTTTCGTATCGCCTTACCTCCAGCACTTCCTGTATGATTTGCAAGACAATCATGTAATGCTTGCTATACCATGTTTCATATTCTGTTTCAATTAAATTTTTGTTTATTAAACGTCGACCACTTTGCTAGTATAAGGTCCAATCACAGTTACCACACTAAAGAGGGAAGAAAAACCACGTTTGATCCATGTTCCATCTCCTGATAATGACTTTATTTTCTTCATTTCCACCTACTGTATGTTTTTCATTTTCTTTTGCGACTTTTGCCGCAACTTTCTATCTTTCATAATAACTGAGATACCCTGCAAACCCATCGAAATTTGGACATCCTGTACATAAAATAAAATAATAATAATAATTCGAACTTTAAAGGAAGGGTTCGCATATCCCATCGCCTAACTCGATAGCTGATCTCTTGAAGATATCACGCATTGTGCTGTGTAATTTATCCTTGATGTGCCTTGATTGATGCAGCACTGGCCGTAATACGTGCAATTTTAAACATCGCTTTTCAGTCATCCCCACATTCCGTAATCTAACGGATTAAGGTCCGGTGACCGAGCTGGCCAACTGATAGGACCCCACGACCAATCCACCGTTCCGCAAAGGTTTGATGAGCAGGGGCCCCATCATGCTGGAAGAACGTGCATTTTCATTGCAGAAACCGTAACAAAACACCATATCAACATATTCTGCATGAGTCAATATGTGTGGCATTATCAACAACTTAGTCGACACCTCAACCAAATAATGTTAAATGTCAAACATTGGCAAATTACTGTTTCAAAACAGCCGTGCGTGATATCAATTTATGCATTCACTGGCTATATCTCAGTTACCTTTGAGAATTGAGCACATATTTTTAGGAACTTTTCTGCTTAAAATGAATAAATCTATAACATATTAACGAATGTATCATTCCTCATGAAACAACCTGTATATTGAATTGAAAACCTAAGCCATGTTCATCTTTTTTCCCAAAAGTCACATCGCCATTACATGTTTTACATTTTAAAATGTTAGAGCAGAAAAAACCAGCGTAAAATTTATTATTCCAAATAATATATTACTTGGCGTAACAAAAACGTTGAAATCGTCGGAACTTCCTATTGTTTTCGCGGATTTGCTAGCGAATTGGGTCTCTTTTTCATTCGAAAATCAGTTGCCAGAGAAGTTTCTTTTCAGATTTCGATGACTAGGACGATTTGTAGATTGTTTTCCGCACTTCTTGTACACACAATTAACTTAACACTTTACTACTAAGAACCGAACAGAAACTTTTTCCTCATATATTTATTATTTTAATACTAGAGCGACAAAACACGTATATTTGAACGAATACTGAATTTTACTTCGCACTTAAAGCAATAAAATTATGCAGCAACATTTTTTTCGATTTTTTTTTTTGATCTAACTAACCAGAACGGACCCTTAATCCGTTATATTGTGGTTTTACTGTAATTTGAAATTATATTGACATGTTGCATTTTAGTTTTAGTTCAGTTTTTTAGTCGGTTGGATTTTTTTCAATATATTTGCCATAAAAGCACTTAGGGATTGATAGATATCTTAACAACTCGTAAGCAAATGTTGGTGGATTATTTGAGTTAAGACTGGTGACTTCACATAAATATTCACCTCGTTGAAATTATTTACATTTTGAGGTCGAGGTGATGTATATCTTGATTTTCTGCGAGGTAGAATTGAAAGATATTAAGCAATAGGTAATAATATTACCTATGCGAAGTTAGCTCCCAATTAGATAGGATTTTACATGTATGGTATTTTGATTATAACAAGAGAACCAGTCAACCGATTTCAATAAACAATGTCTCATTCGAAAGCTTAATCTTTGACCAATACGAAACTGAAATGCGCGATTCAAAATCTCTTTCGAATTTCGTTAAAACGCCAACATAATACGAAGGTACACGAAAAGAACATAAAAAGGACCTTTTTTAAGTGGTGATAACTCGTAAACGATGTACCCGGTGATCAAGATCTATACGTCATTCGATTCAGTATGACCTACAGAGAAACTGATACGATATATACATGATTTTTTTTTTTGAGATAAACTTATCGATTTGAAGAACAGAATCGATTATCTTAATTTGACTAGGCCATTTTGCCAATAATATTTTTTTTGCTTAGTTCTAGTTCAAATGATAATCACAAGTACATATATACAAAAGAACATCATTTGATTTTTGAGTTTCAGATCATTTCAAGGATAGATATTATGTCAACCAGCAACTTAGACAATCCACGCACCAACTTGGTTGAGGGACAATGTAAAGATTATTTTCTATAAACAATTCTTTTTAAATAAGTAAATATATCATGAAAACATATGCAAAAGATTAAATTGAAATACCACATAATTTGGTAGTAAAAAATTCCCAAAGAAATCATTTTATTTGATACAAAAAAAGAGACTCCCCCCTTAAAAAGTTTGAATTAGATTAGTATTATTTGGAGTGGTTT